AAATTAATAACTATCAGATTATACCTATATTGTAGATGAAGCTAATTTCCAAGAGTGATGTTAGATAACTTGTATATGAACCTATATGGTTTTATACCTATTTGTTAGATAACGTGTGGATTGAAGAATGGAAATCCAGATGGCTTGCCAGAAATGGAAGTGTTATGATTCACTTGTACCGAAAAGATTCATCACATTTTAAAAGTAAAAGAATTCTTTTCATGAAGAACATTAAATCAAAACAAAAATTAAGGAGTAAGTATATACTTATAAGCTAAGTATTGAGGTAACAAATAAAAATAAGGCATGTATGGGGCTAAGCTATTTTTATTTATTCAAAGTCATACATCAGATTCAGGAATCTCTCACTTCTTTAAATAACGAAGAACACGTCACTAGACAAGCTTATTTCACCCTGACAATCTTGCAATGCACCATAAATTTCAGCATAAGGCCATAACCACAAATTGCAACCATTGTCAACGTCAAATAATCGATCTACCATTGCGACAGCTTAGCAATATGATTGAGGTTGCCTATAAAAAGAATTAGAGGCCTTCAATCTCAGTACCTTCATCAAATTCAATCTCTACGATTATATGAATCTCAAATGATTATTCAATCAACTAAACTGCTCTTCAGCACAAACCAATTCCTTTTCAGCAAAACCCCTTAGCTCTTCATATACAAATCGAAGCAATCCTTCGAAGCAAGCACTACTTCCAATCTCCAAGATCTAAAACTGTTACTGCTCTACCACCCTGTGGTATGATTTGGATGATGTGTCATTCCAACTACCTTGATCAGCTCTTTGAGGAAAATGTTTCCCACTCAGTCCAGTCTGATACTAGTGATCTTAGTGGATTCCTCTAGCATTAACTTGTCATACATGGCCTGAATGTTGCTAGAGTTCACTACTTTCTTTATACTTTCAAATTTATATACTCTACTTTCTTTATACTTTCAAATTTGTATACTTTTCAAGTCATGTAGATTTGTTCATCAACTCGGAATATCTTTCGTAAGTGATTGTAATCTCGATTCCATCATGAAATGACTTCATTCAATTTCCTACTTCTATTTCTATTTCTACTTTTACTTTTAGTTATAACTTAGGCAAATTTCAAGCCCTCGTTTGTTCGAGGCATAAAAAAGAACTTAATCAAACCAGTGTCCCATTTAGTACACAATCTTTTAGTTAAGAAGTCAGATCTAAGCCCAAACACAACACAACTCTACACACACTATTTTCTGTTGGCAACCTCCAACAATGGTATACATATTTTCTCTTTCCTCGAGCCATCTCATGGCACTAAGAATGAAAGCAACACTCGGAACAAATACATATCTAACCTAGTCAGACTATACTGAGTTTTGAAACCAACAATAAGTTGATTATGCGGAAAGATGGTCAAAGGGTTTAAGTTTCAAATTTTTGGTTTTACCTTAGAGAACTGTTAGTAGTACTCCAAAAATCTCATTATGCACTCCTCGCAAGTGTATTTTCTTTCTAATTATTTAAAGTTTGTAGTGCAAAATGAGATTTTTAGAGTGACAATAACAATTCATTGCCTTAAATACTTTACGATAGTATTGAAATAATTAGCATTAACTGTATAGAGCCACTAGAAGTTCTTTTTCCTTTCTAGATTTAGGAGCTCCTTGAGGAATCCCTATTTTATGAGCCACTCATTTAAGAAGCTAATTGGAGATGCTATTAGAATAAAAAACCACACTCATCTGACTGTAATCATTAAGGTGATGATGCTACCACTTAGTACTACAACAGTAATATTCATCTCAACTTATAAGCGAGAAATCTTAACTTTAAATATCGTGAATAAAAAATTCGATACCGATTTATTCATCTCAGCTCTAAAGCATAAATATCTAATTACATATGATAAAATGACAATGCAAATCTCGTCGAGGTTAGTGAGCAAAATACACCTAAATTTTGATTCTCATTAAACTTTGACGATGACGCATGGTAATTGTGTTGTTGTCTACCTTTCAGAAAAATTAATACAGACACACGCTAATAGCAAGTCCACCCTTCCTTTTGAGGCTGGTCCAAAGTCTAAAAAAATAGGCTGGCACCCCAAAAATCTAGTCAACCCCACAAAATAGACCAGCCCAAAGTCCACCTTAATCTCTAGGCCGACCTATAATGGGTTGAGTTAGGAACTGGCCAATCTGACGTCATGCTGATGTCAGCCATGGCTGATTCTCTTTTTGCGATTGGCACATAGGATACACGCTTGCATGGGCGTGCATTCCAGACTTAAAAAAAAATGTCATAGTCTCACCGCCGACCACGTGTCCGCTTTTTGGCTGTTGGATGTCAACCTTTTTGAAATCCAATGGTTCAGATTAATTGACTTAATAAAAAAATTATAAAAAAAATGTTTAAAAATACAGAAAAAATTAAATGATTTTTTATATATAAATACCTAATCATCTTCTACAAAAATTGAATATTTTCGAAAAATGACGCGTAGCGTGACAAGATTAGTTAAAAATTCTATCCACAATTAAAAATAAAATTATTTTTTTATTATTTTATAAAAAAATTAATAATATTTTAATACGAATTGACTAGACTTTCGGCCAGCTCATTTTTTAGGGATGGAGATGCACTTGGCCAATTTGTGACATCCCACATCGCCCAGGGGAGTGATCCATATATGTATATTCTCATCCCTACCTAGCACGAGGCCTTTTGGGAGCTCACTAGCTTCGGGTTCCGTAGGAACTTCGAAGTTAAGCGAGAAGGAGGCTAGAGCAATACCATGATGGGTGACCCACTGAGAAGTTGCTCGTGAGTTCCCAAAAACAAAACCGTGAGGGAATGGTAAGCCCAAAGCGGATAATATCGTGCTACGGTGGTGGAGCGGGCCCGGGAAGTGATCTGCCCCGGACCGGGATGTGACAATTTGGTATCAGAGCCTAACCCTAGTCGTGGTGTGCCAACGAGGACGTCGGACCCCTAAGGGGATGAATTGTGACATCCCACATCGCCCAGGGGAGTGATCCATATATGTATATTCTCATCCCTACCTAGCACGAGGCCTTTTGGGAGCTCACTGGCTTCGGGTTCCGTAGGAACTTCGAAGTTAAGCGAGAAGGAGGCTAGAGCAATCCCATGATGGGTGACCCACTGGGAAGTTACTCGTGAGTTCCCAAAAACAAAACCGTGAGGGAATGGTAAGCCCAAAACGGACAATATTGTGCTACGGTGGTTGAGCGGGGCCGGGAAGTGATCCGTCCCGGGCCGGGATGTAACAAATTACTGTTTAATCAAGTCAATTACTATTAATTTGGGTGGATTAAATGGATTTTAGGCTAGTTCATTTTTTAGGGGTGGACTTGCTCTAATAATCCGTTTTTGTCATGGTTGTTTTACAATAATGTCCTTAAAGATTATGGACACCCCAATGGGGCAGAATTGAATTTTCAAAAGTCATGTCGCACATTTTTTGAATCACGACGTGCTACGCATGATTTCACGTTTTAAATGTATATATATGTGTAAATTGACAAAAGGAAAGTCAAATATTTGAAGTAAATGAATAATCTTAGATCACGCTAGAAGAAACCCCTCATAAACCAATTAAAGCATCTAAATTCACATAATAAAATCGATCTCTATAGAATGTACATTAAGAATAGAGAAAATAACATTTAATAAACAATTGATTGAATCATATTATTGCTAGTCCATTGTGAGGCTAAACCCACCCCTTCCCCCTTAGTATAGATAATATCATTTGTTAAAAAAATAATAATCATTTGACAACTAATTTAATCATATTATTATCCACGTGCGAAAGATTTTTTTTTATAACCGGCATTACATGCATCTTAAGATGTTTTGTACGTATTTAAAATAGAGAAAATAATATTTAATAAACAACTGATTGAATCACATTGTTATTAGCCTATTATGAGGCTAAGCCCACCTCCTTCCCCCTTAGTATAGATAAAAAAAACAATCATTTGGCAACTAATTTAATCACATTATTATCCGCGTGCAAAAGATCTTTTTTATAACTGGTATTGCACGTTTCTTAAAATGTTTTGAATGTGTTTAAAAATAGATAAATTGAATCACATTATTGCTAGCCTATTATGAGATACTAATTAAAAAAATAAATAAAAACACAAAATAATTAATTATTAAAAAAATATTATTAAAATGATGAAAATACCCCTGCCTTATTTGATGCATTATTTTGGGATGCCTTTGAAGATTTTTGTTTTGGGGGCATTTTTGTGCAATTCTTTTGGTTGAAGCTTGGTGACACCAAAACACTATTCACCAATAAACAATTGATTGAATCACATTATTGCTAACCCATTATGAGGCTAAGTCCACCTTTTCCCTATTAGTATAGATAATATCGTTTGTTAAAAGAAAAAATCATTTGACAACTAATTTAATCACATTATTGTCCGCGTGCGAAATACTTTTTTTATAACCGGCGTTACGCACTTATTAAGATGTTTTGAACATGTTTAAAATAGAGAAAATAATATTTAATAAACAACTAATTAAATCACATTGTTGCTAGCCTATTGTGAAGCTAAGCCCATCTCCTTCCCCCTTAGTATAGATAATATCGTTTGTTAAAAAAAAATAATAATCATTTGACAACTAATTTAATCACATTATTAATCGCGTGCGAATGATTTTTTTTTTTTTTATAACCAGCATTACACATTTCTTAAGATGTTTTGAACATATTTAAAAATAAATAAATTGAATCACATTATTGATAGCCTATTGTGAGGTACTAATTAAAGAAAAAAACCACAAAATAATTAATTATTAAAAAAAATACAATTAAAATGATAAAAATACTCCTATCTTATTTTATGCATTATTTTAGAATGCCTATAAGTTTTTTATTTTGGGGCATTTTTATCCAGTTACTTTTGTTAAAGCTCGATGACATCAAAACTCTCTTCACCTTTTCTTCTTATATATATATATATGTTTATAATAGACTTGGGAGGTCCCGTCCCAAACCCGTTGGCATCACACTTTCGACTCCGTTTCCCCTCCCCTGTCCCAATCTCTGCAAATTATCTCAGCAATCAAACACCCCATTTCTTTCTCTACCCTTTTCTTGAAAGTCCATAGCTAATTACCCAGAAAAGGCTCTCCCTTTTTTGGTAGAAATGAAGATAGAATGTGTCATAGACTCTCTAAGGAAACAGTCTTTTTTCAGAATTTATAGATAAATTCTATAAATTCTGTGGCGGCTCTGATTTTCCCTCTCTTTCTACTCTGTTTTTATGCAAAATTCTGCGTGGTTTCCCGGAAAATCTCAGGGGAAAGGAAGAGAACGAAAGTGCAAGTTTACACAACGTGTAAGTACACATTTCCAATGCCTAAATGCTAAATTTTTATTTATTGTCAGTTCTTTTATCCCATGTAGTAATTGTTAAACATAGGACCTAATATTACATTAATTCCCAAGCTCATATTTTTTTAATTTTTTATTTATTTCATAATTCTTGTGGGTATTCTGAAAATATATGTATTTTTCTCTCTTTTGTGTCCACAAATGCTTGAAATATTAATAATTGTTGGCTGATTCGAAGAGAAACCAACATTATCTGTATCTTGGAGAAAAAAAAAATTCTGGAAATTAGTAGACAGTTTTAGCCTTTGAGCTAAACTCTACAAAAAGGTAACTTTTTGGAATATTATTGAAATTTTAGAGAGGGTAAATTTGATGGGCGGTGTTGGGCATTATTGTCTTTTGGAACCCAACCTTTAACATGCAGGTTCACCACAGCTTATGGTGGTTTCCTGGGGTTCATTATTTAATTTTAATTTTTTTGTGTTACTTTTTATTTTCTCTTTGTTTTCTTATGTTAGCTAAGAAATAAGGAAAAAAAAGCCTAACAAATAAGGGGAGCTGTGACGATAATTGTACTTAGATAGTCAATTTTGGTCCCACTTTGAAATTTTTTCTCATTTTTATACCCACCTCTAGTCAGATCTCCATTTTTTATGCCATTGGGTTCAAGAAAAATGAGCTTTGTATTTGGGATGCCTGTCTCCCAATGGAGGCTAACATGGACTCCATATTTGACTGTATGGCTCACTGGGCGTATAAGGGGATTCTCTCTTTAATGCATTTTATTTCACTATCAAAAAAAAATTTACTTATGTGCCAGTTTTTTCCTTTTTTATGATCTCGTTAAACAGTTTAATATGTTATATTATCGAACTACTTAATTTAGTTGCACAACAAATCAATTTTGCTTAATTAATGGAAAAAATTGCCAGACTAACAATATAACATATTATTCCGTGTTAATATAAATATCTCACAAATATCTATTGTTTTGAGGACCATATAGGTCGGTCGTACACGTTTTCTTAGGTCGAAATTTCCATGTCAGTACAGAAGCAAAAAGAGGGAAGTTGATTGGAGGCAGATTGTCTGTGGGTGCCCTTCCTTCTTATTTCTTTCTGTTTTATGCGATCACGGTTAAGTCACGTTAACATTTTATATTAATTTTTTAATAAAAATAATAAGATAAAAAATAATAAGAATATAAAATATTGACGTAGCTTAACCGTGATCTTACAAATAAAAAAAATTAGAAAGGACATTCAAAAAGGAGCGCAGACAATCTGCCTCCAAGTTGATTCAAGCTAACCTTTTATGCACGTTAATCCAATTAATTGACTGTCACGATGTAGCTAGTTTCCACAGGGCCAGAGACTTTTCACACCATGTTTTTCTTGAATATTCAACAGCCCAACACAAGTATTATACGTATGTTTTAACAGGAGTTAGTTAATCGTGCCCTTAATCCGAATTAGTTCGTCTTAGGTTATGGTTTCGGATTTATTTAATATAGTTTGTGGTTGATTACATAAAGTCGTACGTTGAACACGAATATAGCCTAGGATTCTTGTGAGCCTTTCTGGAAACTCTGACCCGAATCGAAAGGCAATTTTCCTTTATTATGGAGTGGCTTACAATTATGTAACATGGGAGAGTATGAGCCTTGTACAACTTTTTGGTGGCATATTGATTATATTGTGACTGCTCTTTTTTTTTTTTTTTTGGTAAAAAATGTGATGATTTGAACGTGATTCATGGTTAGTCTTAGTTACTGTGTTGCTAAAATAATTGCAAATTTCTTTGGCTAGCGTACTTCTTTGAATCCTAAAAATTAATTATCGTCAACGGTTATGGATTTGAATTTTGAATAATTGTTGCTATTTGGCTTTTCTGGCGTTTGTTATAATAAAAGAAAATGTGAACAAAGACATCGCCCTTCCATGAATCATTTACACACGGACAGAAACGATTTAGAGTAGTCACTCGGCAGAAACTAACACAACACAAAGGCGCTCACTTTATTCTGAACTGTAATCTCTTCCCTTTTTCCTTTTTTTCTTTGTTTTGGGTGGTATTGAGTCTGGAAGCTATATTTTTTAGGAAAGCTAATGAAAAGGGCTTAAAAACTTTGCTGATAACTATTTTATTCGAGGATAACTATGCTTATATATGTATATCACATTATGCAGGAATTCAACTCAGACTCTTTAGTTCCTTGTCTTTTGCTGGTGCAAAATGGCTACAAATACCACAGTTGCAACCGCATGTCCAGCACCGATGAAAGCAACATCTAATGGGGTCTTTCAGGGTGATAATCCTCTGGATTATGCTCTCCCTCTTGCCATCTTACAGATATGCCTTGTGGTTACACTTACACGGATTCTTGCTTATCTTCTTCGACCACTAAGACAGCCTCGTGTGATTGCAGAGATTGTGGTAAGTATATATGCTTTTTGTTTTCTTTATATGCTATATGATGGCCTTCAAAATGATAGTCAATTTATCGTATCATGATGTATTATCAAATTTATATGTGTGGAAATCTTACCCTTTCTCTCTTTGCCTTTGGTTGAATATTTTTTTGCAAATCCTTTTTTTGAATATGCAAATGATGTTATCAGTTATCACTGAGAGAGAGAGAGACACACACACACACACACGCACACACACATAGAGAGAGAGAGAGAGAGAGAGAGAGAGAGAGAGAAGAACTTTCGTGCACCGCTACAAGTGTCTAAGAGGAGCTATGCATTTCCAAACAATATGTTGTGGGAGTTAATAGATTTTGGTGCTTTCATTGGCAACTTCTCGTCTGAAAGACAGATGTTTTCAGTGGCCTTTGAAGTAAAACCATATGTGCCATTCAAACAATAATAATTCCTCGTTTCCAAAAAAGGAGAATGAAAAAAAACATAATATTTTGTTCTATTAACGTTTATTGGAAGTAAACAAATATCTGCACATCCTTGTGCATAGGAGAGTTTAACTTAGTATTGCTTTTTTTTTTTCAGGGTGGAATATTACTTGGCCCTTCAGCTCTTGGTCACAACAAAGACTATATCGAAGCAATATTTCCAAAAAGAAGTCTCACAGTGTTGGATACTTTAGCCAATCTTGGTCTTCTCTTCTTTCTGTTCATAGTGGGTATGGAGTTGGATCCTAAGTCCATCCGCCGCACTGGAAAGAAGGCTCTCTGCATTGCACTTGCAGGAATTACCTTACCGTTTGTTTTAGGAATTGGTACATCGTTTGCCCTCAAAGAAACTATTTCTAAAGGTGTAGATGGACCACCATTTCTTGTTTTCATGGGAGTGGCTCTTTCTATAACTGCCTTCCCTGTTCTGGCTCGTATTTTGGCTGAGCTCAAGCTTTTAACCACTGATATTGGCCGAATGGCGATGTCAGCAGCAGCGATCAATGATGTGGCTGCGTGGATTCTTCTTGCTCTTGCCATTTCCCTCTCTGGCACTGGCCGTTCTCCCCTGGTTTCACTATGGGTATTGTTGTGTGGGTGTGCTTTTGTCCTCAGTTGTGTATTTTTCGTTCGACCAATCTTTAAATGGATGGCACAGCGCTGTCCCGAAGGTGAACCAGTAGAAGAATTGTATGTATGTGCTACTTTAGTTGCAGTTTTGGCAGCTGGGTTTGTCACTGATACTATTGGAATTCATGCCCTATTTGGAGCTTTTGTGCTCGGAATCATTGTCCCAAAGGAAGGGCCATTTGCAGGCGCTCTTGTTGAAAAAGTTGAGGATCTCGTATCTAGTCTATTCCTCCCATTGTACTTTGTCTCTAGTGGATTGAAGACCGATATAGCTACAATTCATGGAGCTCAGTCATGGGGCCTCCTCGTTTTGGTCATTTCAACAGCCTGTTTCGGAAAGGTCTTTGGCACAGTAGCTGTTTCCCTCCTCTGCCGACTGCCCTTTCAAGAGGCTCTGGCACTCGGGTTCCTCATGAATACTAAAGGGTTGGTGGAGCTCATTGTCCTTAACATCGGTAGAGAGAGAAAGGTAAAATTAAGCATTTTCCAATTTTAATGGGATTCTCAAGGCTTCCTCTGTAAATTTTTGTATACACGTGTAACTTAAGGTGCTAGCGTTCTGTTATTGCAGGTTTTGAATGATCAAACGTTTGCTATCATGGTTCTCATGGCTATCTTCACAACCTTCATTACGACACCTATAGTAATGGCAGTATACAAGCCAGCTAAAAGAAAGAGTACATCTGATTACAAGTACAGAACAATTGAAGGGAAAGATCCAAGCACTGAGCTCCGGATTTTGACCTGTTTCCACGGTACAAGGAACCTCCCCACAATGATCAATCTCATCGAGGCTTCTCGTGGGACTGAAAAGAAGGAACGACTCTGTGTCTATGCAATGCATCTTATGGAGCTTAATGAGAGATCTTCTGCAATTCTGATGGTTCACAAGGCGAGAAGAAATGGACTACCCTTTTGGAACAAGGTGACAGATTCAGATAATAATCAAGTAGTTGTGGCTTTTGAACCGTTTGAGCAGCTGAGTCGAGTGGCTATCCGTCCAATGACAGCAATCTCTTCCGTTTCTAGCATGCATGAGGACATCTGTGCAATAGCTGAAAGGAAAAGGGTAGCAATTATTATTGTCCCATTCCACAAGCACCAGAGGTTGGATGGGGTATTTGAGACAACTCGAACTGAATACAGAGGGGTCAACCGAAGGGTTCTTGAGCATGCGCCATGTTCAGTGGGGATCATGGTAGACCGTGGCCTTGGTGGAAGTACCCACGTATCTGCCAGCAACGTTTCTTCTAGCATAGTTGTCCTATTCTTCGGGGGTAGTGATGATCATGAGGCCCTTGCTTATGGGATGCGAATGGCTGAGCACCCGGGTAACAGTTTAACCGTTGTCCACTTCTTAGCAAGTCCTGAACTTCAGCGGGAGATAGTCCAAGTGGAAATAAACGAGGGCTCCAACACTTTAGCAGGGTCAGTGAACGAGAAGTTCATTGCTGAATTGAAGAAGGTTCCAAATGACAGCTCAATCATATATGAGGAGAGGGCGGTGAGAAATGCTGCAGAAACTACTGATTTGATTCGTGAGTTTAATCGATGCAATCTGTTTCTGGTTGGTAGAAGGCCCGAAGGTCAAGTAGCTGCTGCCTTGAATATCAAGGGAGACTGTCCGGAGCTGGGGCCTGTAGGTAGCTTGTTGACCTCTCCAGATTTCACAACTACAGCATCGGTCTTGGTTGTGCAGCAGTATCTTGGGATGGCAGCAGTTCCAGGTTCAGTTGGTCTGTCGAAGGTCGTCGTGTTGCCTGAGGACGAAGATTCAGAAACCGGCTGATCAGCTCTCCCGAGCCTGTATTGGAATCATTATACAGATCACTGTTCTAAAAATTCCCGCCTAAGCCTCATCTAGGCACTAGGTTGTTGGTTACTGCCCCGATTAATGCCTAGGTGTTTGAAAATTAAAAAAGGTCGCCTTGACCTATTGAGGCGCCCACCTAGACCGCTTTAGTACCCGTCTAGCCCGCCAAGTCCCGCCTAGGTTGCGATTCACTTAGACAGAAAATAGATAACTTTCATTTTGCATTTTATTTTTTAAATAAATTGTAAGAGACTTGTTGAATACTTAAATGAACACACATTATATGCTTATTTCCCATGTTTTCATTATGTTCCAATAGCTCATAATATATATGTTATTATATTTTGTAGTTTACGATGAAATTATATATATTTTAAGTATAAATAGACACTTATTTATATGAAATATAATAGATTTAATTAAATCCGCCTAGACCCCGTCTAGCTACCTAGGCGCCCGCCTAGCTGCCTAGGCACTAGGCCTAACCCATCGCCCAACCAGCGGCTAACGTCTTTTAGAACCTTGGTACAGATGATGACGAAAAGTATAGTTAGATAAATGTTTATCTTTACCTCCATTTAAGCTGCTTGTTTATGAAAGGTCGTAAGTTTAATTTATCAATTGTCATAGCGTATAGTTGCATATGGATAGATCTGTTACCTGCATCGACCATACCTAATAGATGCACCTACCTAATGGCTAAACACATAATCCTCTTTATAATGGAAGAAAGAAAGTTGTGGAGCTAGATTGCACATAGAAATAAACCTGAATTGCCAAGTGTTAAATGCTATTATTTGATTCAGAATGAGATTTGTCATTTGCATTAATCTTCTAAACTATGAATGAATAAGGGATACTATTCCATCTTTCTTTCATGTAAATAACATTAGCCTTTCTTTGTTCAAAAAAGAGACTTCTTTAATGAAAGGGAGAAAATACAAATTGTGATAGATGGGCCTAAATCTAAACAAAAAACAAAACCTTACACAAGCAAAGCAAACCATAAAAGGGTAGACAGACCCAAGTAAAAAGAAAGCAACAACCCAAGACAACAAGGGATGCCCACTCATACTTAGACCCACAGTATAAATCATGTGCATAACCTGAGATTGCAACTTAATTCCGAACTAATTATCAGCCTTTAACACCCTATTTGCCCTCTCCCTCCTTCTATTACGTTTTGTGACCTTCCTTGCAGGTGTGGTTGTGGATGTTGTGTTTCTTGGTGGATTGATTCTGGTCAACACCCTCAGATTTAGTTTTTGGTTTGGGTGCTCTTTTTAGATTGAGGCAATGTTTTCCCTTGCAGAGGATGCGCTGGCAGTGGAGGCTGCCTTTTGCTGCTTCTATTTAGGGGTTTTTTTTCGTCTGTTTTTTTTATTGTTGAAGATTTTTTTTAGTTTCTTTCTATTAGTATACGACACGTGGTGTACGGACTCACATTAATGTATCGATTTTTGTTCCAAATACATGAAAAAATATCTCGTCTGAGTGTTGCGAATGACCCCACCAAATTCTCTATGCTCTGAGACCATCTCCAACTCTCGAGTTAAAGCCTAAAATTTTTAACCCAGAAAACTCCAACCCTTTTGAGTTAAATTTTTAGCCCTAGATTATTAAAAAATAAATTTAGGATTATTTTTAAAATTTTTTTTTCTTAAGGTAATTTAAAAAAAATTATGTAGACAATCATAATTAAATTTTATCAACATTTTAACCTAAACATATTTAGATTCTGATAAATATTGAAAAATCAATAAACCTACACCATGAAACTCGTGGAACTCTATGAAAGAATTTTTTTTCCTTTAATTATTTTAGCAGTTGAATTTAAATTTGGACCGTTGGATCTTTTTTTTTTTTTTGTTCGCCGTTGGATTTGATTATATTATATCTTAGCTATTTGATTCAATGAATTTATAAATATAAAACTAAAAAAATACACATATATAATGGGGCTAGCCCACTAACCCATGGAGAATTTTAGGCTAAATTTATCCCAAAAATGAGTTTTGGGTTAATACTCGTATTTGGCCCAAAAGTTACAACAAATTGGAGTAGGTTTAAAACATAAAATTAGAGTTTTACTTCAAATGTTGAAGTAAGTCTGAGTCAACTGTTTAGAATAATGCTGAGAGTACTAAATGATTGGCCTATACTTGACCCACAAGCAATCTCAATATATATTAATTCTGCCACATTACTTTGAGTTGTCTTTCTTTTTGGTGCAATCAGCTTTGTTTATTCTCTCTTCTTTAGGAAAAGAAAAGCTTCTGTTTGTTTTTTTAGGAATTCTGTAAACCAAATGATATCCAGTGATTGATTACCATATTCATAACAATGACCACTTTGGATGAGAACCCTTCGTTAAGGAATCAACTTAGATCGTGAGAACATGCAATTGTATAAAGCAAAAGTGTTTTGCACGTCCCTGTTATTTAATCTTAATAATCGTATCTACAGCCACAATCCATAATACAATATTGGATGGTTGGGATTTTGGTCTTCAATTAATAATCAATTGTGGATCGTCACGAAAAAAAAGTCAACTGAAAATGTGAGATAATAAATATTATGAATTATTAACAGTACGTGACAATGCTATGATAGTTATACTATAAAAATTCTTCAAAATTACATCATCTTCGGTCATGTTGCTTTGATATTGATACCTCAAATTGCTAATGCAGTGGTCATTCCATTAACTAAACCAGATTGGAATTCCTTAAGAGGTTTCTTTGAGACTTGGTTAAATTTTCAATTTCTTCTTATGTTAGCAGGAATTTTTTTTTCAATGCCTATAATAAGACATTGTGTATGACAAAATATTTCATTGTCAAATGATTTGAAAATTCAGATTTAGAAAAAAAAAATTGTGGTGGTTGTTCACATTCTCTATATAGTTTTTTATTTCTTTTTCAAAAATGGAACCCGCTGGTGGCTTCGCACTCTTCCGAGGGAATGAAAGACTTATAGAGGCATTTTAGCATCATGAATCGAACCCATGATGTGCCATGTGGAATATGGGACTGAAATTCATCTCCAACCACTAGATCACCTTGTGGTGGTTAAATTCTTTATATCGTTAAATTTCTATAAATTAATAGCCTTGAGACCAAGATAATCTATTATTTTAGCAGAATATTAAATAATCAATCAATTAATAATTTATTAATTTATTGGTTAATTAATAACTTATTAGTTTATCAAGGGATTCCTTATTTTCTTAAATACTGTACTTTTTTATTTAGTTTCTAGTTTTATAAATTAACAATTCTATGTATTTGTTTAACCAAGTAAATCTACTTGTTTATCTCAAAAATAGATTATACATTGTTCAATGTACTATTATTTCATTTCATGAGCATTAAACAAGCAAAAACTCTATTTAAATAAACAAAAGCCATGGTATGGAGCCCATTTCGCAAAACAAAAAAAAAAAATAGAAAAAAAAAACTCTCAAACCAGTGATGACAATGAAGAATTTGATGTTGGAATATGAGAAAACCACACTAGAACTTCTCATCATGTTAAGAAAAGTTAGAGATGAGATCCAATGTGACATCAATTTTAAGATGAAATGCTCAAAGACAAAAATGCACTCATCTTAGAAGGCTTCATAGTCGAATTATAAGCACTACGTATCAGGAAATTATTAATTGTATATTATGTGGGACCTATATAACTTTTTTTTTTAAGAAAAAATTACACATAAAGCCAAATTATAAGATTATATTGAGAGAGAGAGAGACAAAGTTTTTATTTATTTCATGGTTGTTCTTTTAATTGCCTTTGGATTTACAATTTTACGCTTTATGTTTGAAGGTGAGTTTCTATCTTCTTATTTTTCTCTTTCTCTCCTCTTTTTTCTTCTATACCTCTCTCTCCTTTCCTCTCAACCTTCTTCCTACCTCTTTCTTTCTCTCTCCTGCTCCATCTTCTTCGTCCTTATCTCTCCTACTTCTTCATCATAATTTTCTCTCTCCTCTTCTTCTTCGCCTTGTTCCCTAAATTATCGAGCATTTCTTCTTATGAGGAGCATTTTTTTTTTATTTTTGGTTTTTAGTTATATTATTTTTCCAAAGGTATTTGATTTTGAGGTTTTGATGCTTTGAATTCATGAATTTTTTAAACTTATCTTGCAAAAGTGCTAAAATTTTGAAATTGTAATTGTAGAAGTGCATGAATTTTAAATTGATCTTGCAGAATTGTTGGAATTTTGAATAGCTCTTGTAGAGATATAAGAATTTTGAAACTGATCATGCAAAAGTGCGTAAATTGTGAAATTGATCTTGCAAAAGTGAAGAAAATTTAGAAAATTATGAAATTGATCTTGCAGAAGTGCATGAATTGTGAAACTGATCTTGTATGGATTAGTTTTTACGGATCTAAAATTAGTTTGAAGTTTTTATAGATGATATAGTTTTGGACAAGTATATTAGGGGCATGACTAGAATTTTAAAATTTTGGTTTGCTTGTTTTTGGGCTAGGTTTGTTGGTGTTTGTATTTTTGTATCTGCTTTAAATGATTAAAAATTGGTAGAGTTCTATGATATATGATAGGTATTTTGTGTTTTTGCCTCTCTAGGTAAAACTCTCATTTTTAAAATATACTATCTTATAAATTTAGTGACTTATTATTTTAATACGTTATCTCTAATTCGGGACTAGCCAAAAATATTATTCCAAATATTATTAATTTATTTGGGTATTAACACACAATACACTTTTAATACTTAATTTTTATATTGAGACATCATTTTTTAAACGTTTCAAAGAGAAACAAAAGTTAATACATGTCAAAGATGACATTGTTCTCTTTTTTTCTCTGGAGTTTAAGTTACGAAAATACCCTTTGTAGTGGTAATGTCTTTTCACACTTCTATCTCATTCATCTTTTATCCCCATTCTCTTCCATAAATATTGGCCCGATTTTTCCTTCTCTCTCCTTCTCTCTCTACTCATATGATAGCTTACTTCTACGTTTTACCACCAGAAAATATTTTAGACAAATTTATATTAGAATACCAAGAAAAAGAAGAAAGAGCTTCGTTAGCATTAATACGAAGAAAGCCCAAGAAGTATTATTGAAGCAAGTTGATAACTGGGTTATTAATGTTGAGAAACTGCAAGGAAGAAAGGAACTTCCATTCCATTGCCTTACTGTTGTTGTTGTTGAACAATTTCATTAAGTGGATTCTCTCCTTGCCCTTGCTTTCTTCTTATATGGCCTTTTCGTTTTTATTTCTCTTTAAAAAAAAATTAATCAAATTCAAACATAGGATCA